AACAGTATGTGCGTCCATGCTGAGTCACTTCAGTTGTGTCCAACTCAGCAACCCTATGAACTGTAGCCCACCAGGCTCCTCTGTCCTTGGGATTCTTCAGGCAAGAATATTGGAGGGGTTGCCATGCCCTTTTTCAGGTACTCTGGTCAACCCAGGGATTGTACCTACATCTCTTAATGTCTCCTACACTGGCAGACAGATTCTTTCCCATTAGCGTCACCTGCAAAGCCAGAGTATGACAGTGACATGTCCTCCTCTTCCCCAACCACCAGTCCTGTGCCCTTGCATGAAGGTGTTTATGACCAGTTATTTTTGTATCCTTCCCAAGAGAGTCCCTATATAGATAAGTAAACATAATATTTGTATTTCAGGGGTCATTTTAAGACCACTGACATAAATATTTTGGACTTTTTTTCCCTCTGATGCATTATATACTACAAATTACCATTGTTAAATTACCTGCAGTACATTGAGATGTGTGTTAATTTTATCTCAGAATTTTATTTGTTGTTACTCAGTAAAGCAAGAATATGAATCCCAAATTGAACTTATTGCTACTAATTTTTACAAGTAAATTGACCTTTAATTTTTAGATTTTCTTTTAAAATTAAACTATATTTGTTTTCCCCCTTTTTGAAAGACTACTGGGATAAAATTCTAACAGAAAAGCATAGAAATTGAAGTGTCTTTTATATGCTTTTAAAATAAAATAGTTCTTCCTGACATTACATTCACTTACAAAACATTTCATTATGGAGAAGCATAGGTCAGCTCTTAACAGTCATTGTGTAGAAAGTTGGAGCACATGGTCCACTTTAAGATCTTTTGTACCTGTCCCATTTTTTTTCATCTTGAATCTAGCTTTACCAAGAACCTTAAAAAAAAAGAGGTTATCAAAGTACAGACAAAATAATTTCTAGCTTGGGGATCTTTGTTCTCTGATAGGGGTCTGTGTTTTCTGAAAGGACCCTCGAAAGATAATTCTCCACTAAGAATGAAGATTGTGTAATTTCTTCCCAAATGGGTCTACAGATTCGCCTTGCTATCAAAATCCCAAAAGGCTTTTTTCTAGATAAAATTCAAAGAAAGGAGAATCAAGTCAGAGATCTCACACTAATATCAAGTCATTATGTTTATCAAGACAGTGTGTTAATAGTTTGTTGTTGTTTAGTCACCAAGTTGTGTCTGACTCTTGTGACCCCATGGACTGTGCTCTGCCAGGCTCCACTGTTCATGGGATTTCCCAGGCAAGAATAGTGGAGTAGGTTATGATTTCCTTCTCCAGGGCATCTTACCAACCCAGGAATCAATCCACCCTCCTACACTGGCAGGCAAATTCTTTACCACTGAACCACTAGGGAATCCCTGTAGTAATGGTTTAAAGATACACAAATATGTTATTGGAACAGATAGTAGACTTCTATATGTACAAAAATTTTTTTAATAGGCCAAAGCAATTCAGTGGGGAAAGTCTATAAGAACTGGTACTGAAATGATTGGATAATTCATTTATTTTTTATTTTTTGATAATTCATTTATTTTTTTAAAAGTGACCCTAACTGCTACCTGATACCATACATTAAAAAAAAAACTAATTTTAAATGGGTCACAGGCCTAAACGTAAGTCCTAAATCTCTGACACTTAGAAGAAAACATAGGGTGATACCTTTATTATTTAGGATAGGCAAAGATTTATTCCAAAAATGTTAATAAATTTGACCTCATCAAAATTAAAAATCTTTGCCCATCAAAAGAAACTGTAAAGAAAATGAATGGGCAGAAATATAGGCTGGAACAAAATATTCTCAATACATATATTTGTCAGAGGACTTGTTTTCAGAATATACTTTAAAAATCAGTCCTATAAATCAACAGTAAAAGACAAATGATCGAAATAATGACAGTGGGTATGAGATGTGAAAAAACACTTGTACAAAAGAAGTTATATAAATGGCCAGTAACCAAATGAAAAAGGTACTTAACCTTATTTTTTATCAGGTAATTGTAAATTTAAGCCAGAGTGAAACACTACTTTCAGAATGGCTAAAATTAAAACATCTGACCGTACCAAGTGCTGACAAGGATGTGAAGAAGCTGGATTCATAAACTGTTGATGGAAGTGTAAAATGGTACAACCACTTTGAAAACTGCTTGGCACTTAAATATGCATCTGTCCTATAACTCAACAGTTCGACTCCTAAGTATTTAACAAGAGAAATGAAAAGAACCATATCTACAAAGCCTATTACTAGAATGTTTGTAACAGCTTTTTTAACATAACAGTAAAAAAAAAAAAAATCCATTAACAAGTGAATGGGGGAAGATAGTCATATATTCATTCATACAGTAGGATAATAGCAATAAAACAGATTTCATAATAGACACAGTCTTCTTACGGAAAGACCTAAAAATCATTCTGTTGAGCAAAAGAATTTTGCCAGGGAATTCTTTGGTGGTCCAGTGGTTAAGGGCTCCTGTTTTCACTGCCAAGGGCACAAGTTTGATTCCTGGTTGGGAAACTAAGATCCCATAAGTCAGGTGTTACAGCCCCCGAAAAATATTGCTCGACACAAAAGAATATATGTCTTCCATTTATATGATGTTCACAAACAGGGAGAACTCAGTCTGTGATAGAAATTTGAACAGTGGTTGCTTGTGGGAACTAGTGTTCCAGAATTGTGTCTAATTTCTGAGTTTTAAAAGCTTACCAGCACCCCAATATAGAAAGAAATGAAAACATTCTACTTCGCTATTGTAGTATAGGTCGATTATTAGTTGGAACTCTTAATAAATTTTTCCATTTCCCCATTATTGTAGGTAATCAAGAATTAACTGTGCATGCTAAGATTATTCACTGCAGCATTGTTTTGTTTGCTTTTTGTGCATTGTTTTTTTAAAAGACTGAAAGCAGCCGAAATGTCCTATCAAGATACCACTTAATTTAGTTATGGCATAGTCATTGCATTACTGTCTAGCTGTAGATTTATGAAAAAAGTCGTTATATATTGATATGAATATCTCTGATATGTATTAAGTGTAGAAGCAGTATGCAGAATTGTGGATATTTAGTGTGTATATAGATGTACACACAGGTATATTCATAGAATATCTCTAAAGGTAATCAAAACATTGATTAGTGTCTGCTGCCTCTGAGAGGGTAGCTGGTAATCAGATAAAGAGAGACTTTTTTCCCCACTATATACAACTTTGTGCCTTTTGAATTTTCTATCCTGAATGTAGTGCTGATATACAGAATATAAATTTTTTAATCCCTATGCTAAGAGCAGATTAGAAATCAGAGAACTCTGAAACTCATAGTCACAGGGTACAGTATTCTGAGCAGAGAGGTCCAAAACTGCTGAAAACATTTTTCATAATGTGAACTTGATGTTCCACTTGACTTACAGGATAATCTAAGACTTGTTCCAAAATGCTAAACTGGCTACATTAGAATCACCTGCAGAGTGTCATCAAATACCTGGCAGCTTCTCTTCCTAAAATTTTGTTAATATTGTTCAATAGAACAGGACTAGGGCATGACGTTTTTGTGTTTAAAAGCTTCACAGGTGATTCTTTAGCCAGTTTTGGACACCAGTGGTCTTAAACATGATGTGTCCTTATAGGCCTCTACTTATTCTTTGTTTTCGTCTTTTCTCGTTGATAGAGCCAGAGAATACCTGGTTTTCGAGGGGTGTGTTTGAGTTTATTAATTTTCATTCATTTGAAAAACACTGATTTATTATATTTGAAGTTTTTAACATATTTAGACTTGACTGTAGGGAATGTCCCTTAGAGCTATTCTTTGGGTTGTCGGTGAGTGAGTTTGTTTTTTATTTACCATTTTCTTTTCCTTACAGATTTCAGAATTGATATTCCCACCTCTTCCAGTGTGGCACCCATTGCCCAGAAAAAAGCCAATGATGTATCGAGGGAATGGCAATCAAAGTCACTACCCTCCTCCCATTCCATTTGGTTATCCAAATCAGGGACGGAAGAATAAACCATATCGCCCAATTCCAGTAACATGGGTACCTCCTCCTGGAATGCATTGTGACCGCAATCACTGGATTAATCCTCACATGTTAGCACCTCACTAGCTGCTTTTGTCTGTTGGTGTCATGTTGAGAGAAGGTAGAATAAGCCTGACTACATATTAAAAGTTCATACTTAAAGTAGTAAAGTTAGATGGGCTAAACCATCAAACTTATTTTTATAGAGAAGTTATTAAGAATAATCTTTTCTTAAAAATATATATGCACTTTAGATATATTGATATAGTTTGAGAAACTTTATAAAAGTTAGTCAAGTGCCTGAGTTTTTAATATTAAACTTGAGTATTTATATATTGTGCATCAGCTCTGTTGCTTATGAGGATACTGTAGGAGTGGATGATCTGTTCTAGCACCTTTGAGCATTTACTTTATGGAAAGTATGTAAGTTATTTATATACATGGAAATCTATTTTATGTCATTGTTTAGAAGAATTGCATAAAATCATGTAGTTGCAAATAAAAAGTAGTTTGAGGCATGACAATGTGTGCTTCTGTTCTGTGCATAAACAGGGAAGAAGAACGAAAGGGATATCTCACTGTAGTGTGTGTAATTATTTAGCAAAGAAAAAGCAATGTAGCAATTTCCATTTTTCTTTAAAAAATTAATTTTTTATTAACCATAACTTTCCCAAAGGCTATAGTAGCAGGTGATTCATATAAAAAGTCTAAAATTTGTTAGTAGTAGCTAATTGAAAATATAAATATAGTGAAACAATTTTCAGTCATCAAAGTCACTATACATAGGATTTTCTTAGCCTAGAATTTGGCCTGTACAAATGTTGATAAGACATATGACTTATATGCCTAGTGCCATTGCATAAAGCAGAAATGTTCTTGTAGATGCTCTGAACTCTGCCTTGTGCTTTTTTTCTTCAACATGTTAGTCTTTATTAGTGGTCTTAAATACAAACAGTACAGTACTTCAGATTCTTCAGTGGCCCTTCATACTTATACCACTGTAGTGCCATCAGTCTCGTAAGTGTACTTGAACTACAAAAACAAAAAGAGATACAAAAATTTGGATTTAAAAAAAAAATTGGATTTTTTTCCCCGAAGGTATATTTTAAAAAACTAAGATCATTACACTTTCTCATTATCCACATCTTTAAATTTCTAGTCCTAAATTAGTTGATCAGAAAAATCACCACTTGGTGGTAAACATTGGATGTCCTTGGCTGTTCCAGATATTCCTGTTGCCTGGTGATAAATTTTGTTAAGTATAGACTACGAGAAAAGTGCACAAATGATAAAGATACATAGCTCTCAGGGTATGTGGAATTCAGAATGTCTGCAATTTCAACAGAAAATTTAACTTTTAAACCTTAGAGACTTCTGGTTTTAATGTTATTGTACTCTTTAATAGTGTTTGTTAGTTAATTGCTGAGTCGTGTCCAACTCTTGGCGACACCATGGACTGTAGCCCGCCAGGCTCCTCAGTCCTTGGAATACTGCAGACAAGAATACTGGAATGGGTTGCCACGCCCTTCTCCAGGGGATCTCAGACCCAGGGACTGAACCAAGGTCTTCTGCATTGCAAGCAGAGTTTTTGCTGCCTGAGCCAGCAGGGAAGCAAGAAGCCATATGCAATGTTTTACATGCTTATAAACCACAGGATCTACTTCTTTCTGAGATACATAGTGAATGCTTATTCAAACACTGATATTTAAGGAGCAGAAAGAAAAGAATGCAGGTAGGAATGAGAGTAGTGCAAAGAAGAGTGTCCCAGGAAGGGAGAGATTCTGAAAATCATGAGCAGGAGCCAATAGTGACAAATTATAAAATGGCTGACAATTACTGAACACTTGCTTTTTGGTAGACACTTCCTAAGAGTTTTTAATATATATATATACACACACACACACACATATATATACCTATAAACTAATCTTAATCACATAAGGTGGTTTTTAGTGTAAAGTGAAGAAGAAAAGCCTTTTGATGAGGGTGAAAAGAGATTGAAAAAGCTGGCTTGAAACGCAACATTAAAAAAATTAGCATGGCATCCATTCCTATCGCTTCATGACAAGTAGAAGGGGACAAAGTGGAATCAGTGACAAGGTTTATTTCCTTGGGCTCCAAAATCACTGCAGATGGTGACTGCAACCATGATATCAAGACACTTGCTCCTTGGATGAAAAACTATGACAAACCTAGACAGCATATTAAAAAGCAGAGACATCACTTTACTGACAAAAAGTTCTGTGGAGTCAAAGCTATGGTTTTTCCAGTGGTCATGTATGGATGTGAGAGTTGGGCCGTAAAGAAAGCTGAGTGCTGACAATGCTTTCGAATTGTGCTGGAGAAGATGAGCCCCTTGAACAGCACAGAGATCAAACCAGTCAGTTCTAAAGGAAATCAACCCTGAATATTCATTAGAAGACTTGAAGCTGAAGCTCCAATCATTTGGCCACCTGATGTGAAGAGCCAGCTCATTGGAAAAGACCCTGATGCTGGGCAAGATTGAAAGCAAAGGAAGGGGGCGGCGGAGGATGAGACTGTTAGATTGTCACCGACTCAATGGATGTGAATTTGAGCAAACTCTGGGAGATGGGGGAGGACAGAGGAGCCTGATGTACTATAGTCCATGGGGTTGTGGAGTCAGACACAATTTAGCCACTGAACAACACAACAATATTCAAACATGAGTATATTTCCCTAGGGGTAACTGGCGTCACAGGAGATTAAGTTTGAAAATAAAATTTTTTATTGTTAGTTTCCTTAGAGATCTTCGAGAGTTTGGGTGATAGTGGCAGATTTGTGGACAATGCATAAAGGTGGCGAGTTTCAGGTATTTTTATCATGGCGTTAGCAGATAGCATTTATTCTCTTAGTTTGCTCATTTTGAGGTTATTACCATGTTGGAAAATCAGACACGTAACAGCTATACTGTTGAGGGAAGTATTTTTGTTCTATACCTAGTAGCTACACCTTTCTTTCCACATTAGATTACTATAAAACCTCCTCAAATTTCTTATTTATTACTGTTGACAATTAAATGGCAGAGTGTCTTAGGGAAAATGCTAATTTTGAATTTGACTGCATGTTAGCTGTATTACCTGTAGAAGATTCTGCCTTTAATAGACTATCCACCTCACACATTGTTCCAAAATTTATTTAAAGCAAAAGAAAGTGCTCATAAGCATAGGTTTTCCAAGCCATTCCTAATGAAATAAAACTATCAGAAGCTGCATCTTAAATTCAATTTGATAAATATGCACTTCATCGTGTGTAAAACTTTTTGACTAGTAATTAGAACTCTAGGAGCCATAACACCGCAGTCTGTCTCCCTCAGATTCCAGGACTGCTCCATGAAGACAATGTCACTGCATAATTTCAGCTTGAGAGCATTTATGAGGTGGTTTCAGGAATGAGCAGTTTGTGACTGAATGATGATAATCTGTTTTAATTCTCTATTTTATTTTACATCTGTAGCCATAGCTGCAAAGCTCACAGATTTGGAGGTTAAACTTGGACATGAAATATTAAAAAATACAAACTCTTTTGGTAAGTTCTACGACATAAATACCAAAGTGCTTATTTCTGGGATTTTAGTTTATCTATAGCTTCAAATTAAGATAATGAAGCATTTATATTGGCTTCTACTCAGCTGTCACTGTGAAAGTGATTTTATTTGATGATTGGGAAGAGGAAAAAAACTTAAAAACACTTATATGCATTTACCTTGCTAGAGTAATCACTCTATCCATCTTAAATTACCTAGCAAAAGACAAATAGTTCAAGGACAAACGTCAAAGAGGGAGAGATTTTCCACAAAATTTTTAAAAGAAAAATTAGTATTAACACAAATATTTAGCAGTCAAATAAATACAAAGAAACACAAATGACTAAGAAAATAACAGATGTGCTAATGACACACTAAGGACAAAGAAAATTTAAGTTGAAGGCAGGAAATACAATTTTTCACCCAACAAATTGACACTGAAAAGAAATTTTAATGCATATATCCTTTTGCCCAGTAATTCAAATTCTATATATAAGATAAACTATAGAAACACTTCCAAAAATGTATAAAAATTAATGTACAATGGATGTGGACTTTTGTTATATTTATAATAAAAGACTATAATTCATTTTGTGTAAGAGGCCAATAAAAGAATGATCTGTATCCAATGATGTGAAATGATGTCCACCATATTATGTAAGGGGTAAAAATGGTACAAAAAGTGAGGATAATAGTAGAACTTAATAGGTTTATTATCATGGAATGAAATAAGATGATTAATATAAGGTGCTCCAATACATGGCAAATATCCAGTGCTCAAAAAATTTTATTATGTTTACATAAGATGTATGAAAGGTGAAAACAGGTATAAAAAGTGAGGACAATAGAACCCATCTAGATTTATCACAGGATAATGTTCACCATTATAGTTCATACATATGCATACATCTATGAAGCATTTCATCTAGGAAAATGTAATTCCATTTGACAGGTACTTAAGTGCTTTCCATTTGATGATATGTGTGTAGTATTATCCTCATCTTACTAGAAGACAATCTTGAGTATTCAAGTTAAGTCAGGTGACCTAAACTAGTAGGTCTTCAAATCAGGGCAGTATGACTCCACATGCTTTTAAGAGCAAGAGAGAGGGTTGGAAAGAGGCAAAACTGTTTATAATAGTTACCCTTAAACTGTTAATAATAGTGTGTAAGCATTATTATTATTTTTGTTTGTTTGTTTTGGAAAGCAACAAAATAGAAGGTGGTGGTTTAGTCACTAGGTTGTGTCCGACTCTGCGACTCCATGGACTGTATAGCCTGCCAGGCTTCTCTGTCCATGGGCTTTTCCAGGCAAGAATACTGGAATGGGTTGACATTTCCTTCTCCAGGGCATCTTCCCAATCCAGGGGTTGAACCCAGGTCTTCTGCACTTCAGGCAGATTCTTTACCAGCTGAAGTGAAGTGAAGTGAAAGTGGCTCAGTCATGTCTGACTCTTTGCCACCCCATGGACTATACAGTCCCTGGAATTCTCTAGGCCAGAATACTGGAGTGGGTAGCCTTGTCCCTTCTCCAGGGGATCTCCCTAACCCGGGTGGATTCTTCACCAGCTGAGCCACAGGGAAGCCCAAGAATACTGGAGTGAGTAGCCCATCCCTTTTCCAGCGGATCTTCCCGACCCAGGAATCGAACCAGGCAGGCTCTCCTGCATCACAGGCGGATTGTCTACCAACTGAGCTATCAGGGAAGCCCCTTACCGACTGAGCTATGGCATTGTTCTCTTAGTTTAGACTGGATTTCAATGAAAAAGAAAAGTCACTTTATAAAAATTATTGGCCACAAGAGGGCATCAGATGTTCTTTTTCTAACTTCCAAACTAAAGGTTGTGTCTGTAAATAATCTCCCTTCTCCAAGGAAAAGTATTCGTGGTTATAGTTTAAATCACTGTTTTTCCTAGACATCTACATACAGAAATTGCTACTTGAAATGGAGAATGTTAAGTATGCCAAAGTTATTACATACATTGCTTTACTGGAATCATTTTTGTTAATTAAAAAAAATAGTTCATTTAGGAAAATAAAAGTACCTAAAAGCACAAAGAAAGAGATCATCAAAATTAACTATAATCTTTCCAGCTGAGATAACTATTTTATCTAGAAAATTATTTTATCTAGTAGCTGAGTTACTATTTTAGTGGATGACGATATTTAAGAGGGAGCTTTTACTTTATAGACTTCTGTTTTGTTGTTGTGAAATATACTCATTTTATGGTCTCACAATTTGAAAATGTGGAACATTTTCTTATGTCATTGATTTTTTTCCTAAAACATGATTTTTAATATTTTCATGGAATTCATATTTATGTACCTTAATTGATTTAACCAGTCTTTATCATTAGCTATTAAGCTACTGATCTCTTTAGGAAATTTTTTTAGCCAATTTAAATATATATCTCCTTTGTTGGAGGTGGTTGGGGGAGGGAGGTATTCCTTTGAAGTCCAGAAATAAATGAGCAAATTGTTTTAGAGTT